CCGCGGGCCGGCAGCGGGGCACCCGCCGTCTCCAAGATGGTGGTGGCGCCCATTGAGGGGGTGAAGCTGCTGCTGCAGGTGCAGGCTTCGTTCAAGCAGATCCGGGCGGACCAGCAGTACAGAGGCATGGTGGACTGCTTCGTGCACATCCCCAGGGAGCAAGGTAGGGACTCTGGGCCGCTCCCTGTCCCCACACCTTGCCCTCTCTCTCCCAAGCACTGTAAAAACAAAAGCTGCTAGAAACACCTTTGAAGCGACAGCAATGGGGCATCCGTTGTGGGCCACGGGCATTCACAGCATGGGTACTGGCGAGGGGGGCACTGCGGGGTATGTCCTTGTAGGATTTTTTTTTGTTTATTTAGTAGTGGCAAAATCACGCTCGATGGTATTTGTGGACAGCATAAAATACTTTTAAAGTTTTCCTTCTGATAGTTTTACAGAAGCAGCATTTATTTGGCATCCTCATGTTAGCGTATAGGAAAGCATGATCAAAGTAAGGAATGAAAACACAGTTTTGAGTTTTCTTTGTCTTGAAGGACTCTCTGCCTTCACCCACAGTAACACAATAAAACTAAGAAGTCTGAATGCAGAGCATGGCTGCGCAGTACAGCGATGACTTTGTTGTGACTGCTTAGCAAATTCTAACATGGCAAGCCACTCCAATGTCCTCATATACCTTTTTTTTCTCATAATCCATGTAAGATTTGCTCCTGCACTAGCTCTTCGGGTCCCTTTAGCTTCTTACGCATTTATCTTTGTGTCCAAAGGGATCTTTTCTTTAATTTTGAAGAAGAATATAATTAGAAAAGCACTACCAAGTTTCCGATACCTGTATAAACCGTTCATCATTGCTTTAATATGGAGTGGGAGCACCCCCTATGGAAGAGAAAATGCATAGGCAGGCTACTTCAGGAAAACTTTCTACACAGTTCTGTGAAACACTCTCCCATGCTGCAGTTTCCAGACTGCAGTTTACACAGGTATCCCTAGTCTTAGAAACGTATGGCGTAAGGAAGTTGAAAATCTTACCTATTTCTCAGTATTATTGATGTTTCACCTGCAGTTTTAGATTTGGTTGTGCTAACACCGAATGCATACATCTGTTGGTGTCAGAATAAATCCAGATTTCCAATACCAAATGCCTGAAAAATAAAGGACCTGACAAGGAATATTTTTGGTCTTTGTTATAGCTCATACCAAAGTAGAAACAATAGAATGAATATTGTATAATACACAAAGTGTAGTATAAACTTTGGAAATGTTCTTTTAAAGATCCATATCTTTCTCCGTAGGATATTTCAGCTTTTGGCGTGGCAATTTGGCAAACGTTATACGGTATTTCCCAACACAAGCTCTAAACTATGCTTTTAAGGACAAATACAAACAGATTTTCATGTCCAAAGGGGATCAAGAAAAACAGGTAAATAATCTCTAGCATATTAGTTCTGTTTAATAAACAAACGAGATCTGTTCAAGATCTGTGCAATTCTTTCTCTCAGCATGGTTGGTAATTTAGTGGTGGTATATTGATAAGATTTTGTAATGAGCGTATTTTGTAACAAGAGGAACAGTGAGCACAGCTAACTGTATAGCTTATTGTTGAAAGTAATGAAATATGGGTTTTGATCTTTAATGATTAATAACGTTGTGAGTTGCACATAAATAACTGCTTGTAACCACAGCTAGAATTTTCAAAAATTTTGTTCAGGACATGTAATTATTTTGGAGTTAACCGATGCAAGTATAAGATGGATATTAAAAATCTTGGACTCAGACACCTATGTTTCTTGGCTTTGTCAAAAACCCCAATTACATTCTCACAGTTAAGATGGCATAAACCTGTACTCTCATCTCAAAAATCTTCACTCATGTGAAATTACAGCTGCTTGTATTCTAATATGTGAAGTTCTCGGCTTGTGTCCCTCAAGCAGGAGTCTCTCATTTCAATTTTTTTCACATTATTTTCTCAATAATCTTTAGTATGTGTCAGAGAAAACCTAGTAAAGTGCATATTACTGCTGTAGAAAAGTAATGCTTCACTTCTTACTACATGTGAAGCTAGAAACAGACCCATGAACAGTTAAAGCATTTTATGAATTTAGTTTTGTACAATGCGCCAGAAAAGGAACAGGTTTATGTTATAGCTTAGAAAGGCAATTAAGCTTTTGGGCTACGGTGCCTTACCTTGCAGTTCTGTGTACCTGGGAAAAGTCACTTAACTTGGATGGATTCTTGAAAGGCACAGAGGTCTACATCAGTGGAATTAATTACAAGAACTCTTGGTCTTGGAATGTGAAATGTTGATATTGACATTTGACAAATTATATAAAATTAATTCATATCAGCAGAACAAAAAATAAGTTCTTCGTATCTAATTTGTTTAATGTGAATATAGCTGGAAAATCTGCTTTACTTGCGTCTGTCTCAGGTTATCTGTTTTAGGATTTATTTGATTAGGTTTTGATAATTTAAACAAAAAATCAATGTTCTGTGCTTTCTCTTGTTGACAGTTTTTTACTGCAGTGCCAGAAACTTTTCTTGCCACAGGCTTTTCTGGTGGTGCTGACCAGGAGGAATGCTGTCAGTCATTAAAGTTTGATTAATCTCCTTGTATTGCATGCAAATTCTTAAGCAGTCCTTTTTCAATTACAGTCATTTTGTATGTAAAGAGTTTAAGGTTGCTGTTTTCTTTCTTTTCTTACAGTGGAAAAAGTAAAACATGCATGATGTAAATAACAGTGTTTATAGTTCTTCAAATCTGCTTTCCGTCTCCTAGAAGTGTTTCCAGATGGATTACATGTGTCTGAGCTTGTGACTCAAATTTTAGAAACATTCCACAAATAGCACTCAAGATTAATTTCTTTAGAAGTATAGTATTTAGCAAAGTAGCATATAATTGTTGAAGCTCAGAGTCTTTGGCTGCTTTCTTGCATGTTTTGTGCAGGATAGGAAATGGGGAAAACAATATAGTTACATGCATTATTTTTTGCTTAGCTGGATTATCTTTCAAAAAAAATAAGAATTACTAAAACCTTTAGATTGCAAAGTGCAGAGAAACTTCTGTTAAAGAAGACAGGCTATATCTACGTGCCAGACACTTGGTATCGAAGGCAATACTGGCACAGCAACAGTTTATGCAGCAACATGAGCTAGGGCAGGTCGCAAAGCCTTACTTATTACAACTAATAAAATACTAGGGCAGTTGAGCTCTGCTGGACTCCATCCTACTGCGGCTCCAGTGTTGCTGGTACTGAACCAGCAAATAAGAAGTGATTTTTGGGTACATCTACATGGTCTGCATTCATTATACAAGATGTACCTGTGATGCCATTGAAGTCAACTGAGCTATGTCAGATATCGCCACCTAAAAACGTTATGCAAAATGTTTCTTCTACTGTGATTAGCTTTTTCTTGTTTGGTAAACGATATGGGCTACAGTGAAAGTGAGTACATTGATTTTTATGTTTCCCTGTTCCCCCATCGTGGAGAGTTGATGCACAATTGTTTTGTCGGGAGATCCACAGACCAATTGTTATGGAGGACTGGGTGATTATAGACGAGAAAGATGTTATCTGCTATCTGGGTCACAAAAGCACCATATAATTCAGAAGTTGAAAAAGAAAATAGCTTATAAATATTTTTTAATGAATGTAAGAATAGACAGGGAATCTTTACAAGTGGAAATTTTTAAATACCCCAGTATATGTCTTACTCTGCGACTGGCATACTTCTTCATTATTTTGTAAATAATACAATGTTTTTAGATAGATCTTACTTTTCGTACTTTAAAGTTTCATTTACTATCTACAACAAAGGTCAGTATTATAGTATTGTAATACTGAGTTTTCATAACTACATAGAGCAATTTTTGTGTTTCAGTTCTGGAAATGGTTTTTGGCAAACCTAGCTTCTGGTGGAGCAGCAGGAGCAACATCCCTGTGTGTAGTGTACCCATTAGACTTCGCATGAACTTGTTTAGCTGCTGATACTGGGAAAGGCAGCAAAATCTCTTCAACAGCACTTCCAGTTTTATTTGATGTGCCTCAGGTTGTTTATATTTACTTCATTTTAGAGGTAGACCAATATGTAGCAGTATTAGAATTCTGTTACTTAAAAATTTACCATTGCAGAGTTACAAACCTAAAAGTATTAAGAAATGTAGGATCCTTATTGAAAAGGAGAGGATGAAGGTGAGTGAAAGAGGATTATCTGGAAACAGTGCTGTAGCGTAGCTCTCAAAGTTTTGGGTTATTTTTAAGTTCTGTTTGGCAAAGTTTAACTGAATTTTGCCAACTTTAAACTCTTCTAGTTTCTGGCATTCAATTTTTGCAAACCTATGGTTTTACGGGGTGTCATTTAAAGAGCTAATGACCATCCTTGTTCTATATCAAGAATACCAACTGAAGATTTTCAATAAAGATTTTGGGTAGTATATGTCTCTAGATGTATGTTTCATTCATTCAAATAGATAAAATTAATTTCCTGAAAACAGTGTCTGGAAGGCTTTGTGGCAGAGAGGAAGGAATCTCTGCTTTCTGTATTGTTGTTGGCTTTCCTGATTTGCCTGTAATGGGACAAGTTAACGCAAGTTACTGTCTGTGCTGTGCAGGGTTGTCCCAGGAATTAGCAGCGTGATTTTAACTGTTGCTTTCTGTGCCCTGTACTTGGGCCCAATGAGTATTTTCATGACACCTTCAGTATAAGAAGGTGTACGGTTTGAAGTTCTTCTTTCAAAGATCAGTTTATTCCTTGTCATGTTTTCACCTGAATCCTAAGAGCTTGGGTGTAGTTACCTGTGGAATGTGGAAAGAGATGAAGAATCTACAGATCTAAAAAGTGAATTTTTTTAACTTTGTCACAGCTTGTGTCTACTTTGATTAAGAAGGGGGGAGTGAAAGCATGGTCTTACGTAGGACAAATTCTTTCCAGAAAGAGTAAAAGAATTCCTACAAAAGCATTCTGCTGAATGAGGACAAAATTGGAATGGTAGTTATTTGACCTGAAAGTGTTTCAGCAACTGGATACCACTATGTGTTTGATCAAGCTGTCTTCATCCATCCATGTGTCTCAATTTCTGCTTTATGCTTCCTTCATAACTGGAGGAAACACTGATCTACTATGTTTTTCATATCATTTTGATAGTTAAATGTTTGACATGCCGAGTAGATTGTGCTAAGGAGAAGGACTTGTGTAAAGCATAACAACGTGCATAAATTTCTTTTATATTAGGTGCTGCTGAGCGACAGTTCCAGGGACTTGGTGACTGTATTGTTAAAATTGCAAAGACGGATGGACTTCCTGGCCTGTACCAGGGTTTTGGTGTTTCAGTACAGGGAATCATTGTATACCGAGCCTCCTATTTTAGATGTTATGACACCATAAAGGTAGCTTTTACAAACAAAAATGCACACATTTTAAATCTTTATCATATTTTAAATATTTATTATGACCTAATGAGGGTGTTAGTTACAGCTTTGTCTTTACATTTATTTGTGCTCAACAGAGTATATTACTGAAGAGCCAAGTTATTTTTCAGTAGGATTGACAACAGAAATTACCAAAATTATAGTTGGTATCTGCTGGATTTGGCATACATTTTACAGAATTTGTACAGGCTTCCATTTCTGTTTTATTTTGCAGGGATTATTGCCAAATCCAAAACAAACTCCATTCATTCTTTCCTTTTTCATTGCTCAAGTTGTGACTACATTCTCAGGAATGCTGTCTGACCCTTTTGACACTGTCATGAGACGCATGATGATGCAGGTAGGGTCTAGCTTGCAAACCTTTTCTAAAAATTACTTACTAGATTTTTGAAGTTTGACGTGCAAACTGAAGCACGGTATAGCCTTAAAACAGGCAGGACTCTATTCAGAAAAAACAGTGGAGACATCTCCAGAAAGACAAGAAGAAAAACTACTAAAAGTATTGTGGCAGCCTGCTAAAAATTGACAGCTTGGTGAGAGCTTTTAGTAGAAAAACAGGATCTGTTTCATTTTACTTTCTCAGAAGCCAGAGATTTGGAGTAAGACAGGTTTGTGGGTAGAATAATATCCTTTATTAGCCCAGCTAATGCAGTTAGAAAAATAGTCTTTGTGGCATACAGCTGTTGTTCAGGTGTGATGTAGAATCGGTAATCTTCAAAGCTCAGTACAAGCGGAGAAGTATTTCTCAGCATGTGATGGGCATGATAACATATTATTAGCAATTAATGTTGGATCTTGTTGCTAGCTATAAGGTAATTTCACTAGGTAATTCAGTAGCATTTGAAGTACATTTAATAATACAGATTCTTGCTATGAAGATCATCCTCAAACATGAGATAAAAAACCCACAAAAATGCTCTTGAAAAGTCAGGCCCTCATTCCCTGCATCCCTGAGGAAGTTTGGCCATCTGATAATAGAAAGGAGTTGTTAACTCCAAAGAAGTGTCCCTGCATTTTGTTTCAAGCGTATCTTCTTTTCTGTCGGTATTCCAGAAAGTCAAAAGAAAATCAGAATAAATGTTGGCATTGAAATTGCTTGGGTGCTTTCAAAAATTCCCAGGGGATACTGAGATTCTTACATAATCCCTGCATACCTCTGGTAATCTGTGCTAAATAACAGAAACCTTAAAGCTTACAGTGGACAAACATCATTAGCATTACTGACTTGTTCCTTTCAGACTAAATATGATTTCACTGTCTTCAGATTCTGCCTTATCTGCTTAATCAGCAGTAGGCCTACAGTTAATGCTGTCTTTATTTGAAAGTACTGTGTTTCTTCAGGCCTTACCAAAGAATTGTCTGTATTTCTAATTTACCGCTAGGATAGAGAATAGTATCAAGATTACTAAAAACGTAAATTATAATCCCATGAAATAAGATAATGGACTTACTAGAACAAAAGATGAGAATGAGAGGACGTATATATGTTGTGGATGTATGAATACATTTCGTGTGGTGTCTGTGTTTCATCCATGTAGTTCTGAAGCTTCAGGTGCAAATAAAGCTGATTAGTAAGATTTTTATCAACTTCTTATCATGATGCTTATTCTGATCGAAGAGGAAGCCCTGTATTAAATATAGCTCCTTTTATTTCTTCAGTTAAAAGTATATTTGCCAGATGGGATAACTTTCTGAAGTAATGAGCACAATAGAGTTACTGCTTTCAGTAGTTTTGATTTCTGTAAGCTAAGAAGTAATAACCGTTACCAAATACCCCTGCATTTGCATATCTTCATGTCGATTCAAAACAAGATATTTTTAATGCTTTTTAGCTATGTTACTATGCTTATATTGATGTATGTGAATATTTACCATAGACATATTTCCTGCATTTATTATGCTCAAGAACTCTACACTCGTACAGAATCACAGAATCACAGAATGGTAGGGGTTGGAAGGGACCTCTGTGGGTCATCTAGTCCAACCCTCCTGCCGAAGCAGGGTCACCTACAGTAGGTTGTAGAGGACAACCTTGATTCCTAGCAGAAGATGTAACAAAATGTTAACACTGTCTTCATCAGAAAATTCAAATGTCACTTTATTAGCTGCAGAGTATATCACAAAGGCCTAAAGAAGGCAAGATGACCTTTCTGCCATTATAGAGTCTAGAACCTTGCCTTGGTATTTCAGATGGATTTGACTTAAGATGTAGCTAATTTAAGTCAAATCTTCAAGTGAGTAAAAAAAAAATAAATCCTAGTGTTGTCTTTCCAGTAGAATTTCACATAAAGATAGGGATTTTGGATCTCTCAAAAAAAAAGTATAATTGTTTTTTGCTAGCAAAGACAAAAACCAGTGTCAGTTCCTAATACAGTCCTCAGATCCTGAAGAGACTGCAGTTCCAAACCAGAAATTGTCAGACAGTTCACCAAGCGCATCTACACCAAACCGCTTCATGAGAGCTGTGGTGTTACTCAGAGTATCCGAGAGGTTTGCTGTCGTCGTTATGCCGAGTTCCACAGTGGGCGAGAGTATTTCCCAAGTGCTTTGCTGTGCCGAGAGTGGCTACGCAATGTTCCTCTGGGCTGTTTCTACTCCGCTGTTGAAATTTTCAAAACATAAAGCAGTTGGCATGATTGTCAGTCATACTGCACTTGGAAAAAGCTGAAGGCAGGGCTGCTGACTTCTACAGAAACGTATGTGTGCATGTGAGCATTCACTGCTTGCCATCCTTCATTTCCTTGCCCCATAAGCACTTGAAGCAAGTTTTAATGAACAGGGTGCTGAGGTCTCTAACTAACAAATCTTCCTTTTTGCTTTGTTTTTGTTTGTCGAGCAAATTAATGCTCAGAAACAAGGTAGGCTAGGTGAAAACTGGACCACGCTCCTTCTTAGCCTTCCTTTGTGTTTACATTATCATGCTAGTCAAGACCTTAACATTCTTTAGACTCTTCTTGGAAAATAGATAGATGCTGGATGGACTCTACTGATTGCTAATGAACTGAAGTCTACTTGGTATAAAAATATTTCTGTGGTACTAAAGAAGGAAAAAAATGAGCTGTGGAAGTTTTCATAGCACTGGAACAATTCAGAGCACCCTTAGGACTGCAGTGACCTCATTTAATTCCTAAGCCTTCTACTTGCCCAGCAAAGCTTAAAAGAAGCATCAGAAGAAGGATCACAGCCTTTCTAAATTTAGCTATTGGAACCAGCTAACAGAGCATTACATCAGATAAATATTTCTTAGTTAAAAAGATCACTCCCTTGCAGTCAGCAAAACATTAGGAGAAGTTCCTTAGTGGTGTTTACTAAGGACAGACAAATTTTGCTCGACATCTAAGTTTCTTTCTCGGTGCAGTGCAGTAATGATTTGTCCTCACTATTTGTGTGCAGAGTGGGGAGACTGAACGCCAATATAAAGGAACCGTTGACTGCTTTAAGAAAATATACCAGCAAGAGGGGCTTAATGCTTTCTTCCGTGGAGCATTCTCCAACATCCTTCATGGAACAGGAGGAGCCTTAGTGCTAGTCCTTTATGAAAAAATTAAGGAAATTTTTAATCTCGATGTTTCAGAGAGTTCAGGGTCTGATTAAAACAGTGAGTGAACATCTATTTTGCTTGTACAGTATTCATGATAGAATTCTCATTTGCATACCATATTTTTAGTTTAAATGTTACATGAACAATACTTTTAATATATTATTTGGATGTTTTTGTGACTAAGCATGTGCTAAATAAAATAATTTGTTTTCAGGGAACTGAAGAGTACTGTTTTCATTTAATTCAGGAAATGAATCCAAGAAAATACTTGCCTCGTTTAAAATTCTCGATGTTTCCATTTCAGTCGTACTAAATGTCACATATCTTGAATTTTGAATTACAGCATGTGCTTGAGTATATTTTGATAACATAGCAGTTTCCTTGGCCTGTCAGCAGAGCCCATTTGTGAGTATGTGTACGTATCAGCCTGCTATGGCTTCTGCATGAACCAGAGTAAAAAGAGAACCTGCTTCCAGCCTGTTGATGTGTTTTCATGGTATTTCAAAGCACAAGTCAGGACAGCAAAGGAGTTTACATTTGTGGGATTTTTTTAAATTGGTATTAAGAAATACAGCAACTCACTTTTCTCTCCGTCCCATCCCTCAAACAACATTTAGAAGACTGTAGTGTGGCTGGCAGCACTTTAAGTCAAAACACAGCCCAAAAATGCAGAGACCTAGGCACCTAAAGACTTAAAACAGTTAATACCTTATTTCTCGAGGAAATTTAAAGTAGCTGAGGATTCTTCTCAGTATTGAGGATAAATCTTGCAGTGTACATAAATGAGGAGACTTTATTTTTATTTCTGAGGTAATAATTTTCAATAGGGAAAGGAAAAAGAAAACAAGGCCTGTGGAATATATTGATAACTTAAGGACTCAAGAAAACATTTAGGAGGCCTTTACTTAAATGTTTGGTTTCAAAGAAATTAAGGCTAGCAACGTTCCTCACATTTCTAGCCAAACATTAAGTTTCACACAAAACCTTTAGCTCCTTGAGTTAGTACAAACATTTTTTTAGCTGCTAAAAAATCAAATGCGATCCACAGGCCAAGACTTGGAAAGACTCAGTTGGCACCAGTTCGCAGATTGCGACAGTGACAGCGGATGACTGGGGGTGTGTGCTCAGGCAAGCTGTGGCTAATCAGACCTGAGTGAATTTTGTTCCTGCTCGCAGCCTGGGCAATCGCTATGACACCAAGGCATGCAAACAAGACTTTCATGAAATACTGTTAAGAGTTTGGCCTGTCCTGTTTGTGATCTCACCTCCAACTCTTACTCATCTCCAGCAGTCTTACTCTTGACAAAGCAAATAAAAAGTCTGCTGGCACTTTTCTTGTCGCCGTCATGAATGTCTCCACACCTCTGCACTCCCGACTGCAGCTTGAAACTCGCTGGCGTGGCTGCCAGAAACAAC